ACGAAAATGTATGTTACCGATGATTTTATGAGTTTGAAATCTTAAAACTACGGTGTTAATCCTTGAATACACCATTACCAACTTTCAAAATGTAGTTCAGTTTGACTTTTGGAGTTATGTAAATAAGTATTTTACATGAATTAAATTAAAAAATAAATATTCCCCAAAACTCGCAATAACCGCTCCCCCCCAAAAAAACCACAAAATACCCACCGGGTGTTTTCTTAGCCCTGACTGAGGGAGATAAAACTTTCCTTTCCAGCTGATCTGCCTCGATTCCAGCTGATATCAAAATTTCCAAAAAATAAATGAAAAAAACAAAATGTCTAGCAATTAGTTTGTTCGTCAGTTATGATTTTTAAGTGTGCGTTTTCAACAGTTTGGAGACGCCCAAGGTTTGAATAGACGAGCTTGTGACGCATAGTAAAGGCACTAAAACTAAAATCTAAACAAAAGGAATTTTCAAGAATATTTATTCGGCATTTCTCCCTATTGAAAATATACTATAGGGAAATAATTGCCTAAAGAGGATCTGATTCAAATTACTACTACAGTATTGGCAAATATTTAGTCCTTTCATAAATAATGTTAGACGAAAACCTTTAAATAATTTTAAGTACACGTGTTGACCGAACCAAGTAACATCTAAGTCATTACCACAAAAGTTTTGCAATATACTAACGACTAGGGGGCAGATTTTGATGACCTAAAACATCGACAAAAATGATCAATAAAATGCTCTAAAAGCAAATAAAAATGACGTAAAAACGTAATCGAAACCAATTCGAATGCACAACTCAAACTGTTGGTTAGGTTACTGATGCAATTTAGGCGTCTTCCATGGGTTCAAGTGAACTCTGCTTGCTAACTTTTGGTATGGACAGTTCTTTAACCAGGAAATTTCTGTCTTTAGTTATCCCAAAATCTGAACTAGGAGGCTGATTTTTTTTTATCTACTGCTTTTTTAATTCTCTTTCATATGAGCATCGCAATTATCGATTTGGTTTGTGGGCACTTTTCACATATTCGGCTCTATCCTGTAAGTAAATACGGGCCAACAAAGTTATTTTATAATTAAATTTTAAATATTCGAATTAGAGATAATATCAAACAAAAATATTTTGAGTACTTTCTCAAGGTTGAAAACGGCAAAGATGGCTCAGGGCATCACCTGATGGAGGTCCTTGTGTTCGAGTCACAACGGTGGCAGGATTTAAAACACTGACTATAGGTAGATAGCTGGATCGAGTTCAGCCGCTGTCTGGAGGAGAATTCTAGGCGCCGACTGCTCTAATCTGTACTTTTCAAAGGTTTCTCCGACCAAAACCAGGCGAAAGCCGGAGCAGCCTTTCTCTTCCTTGACTTATTCTCATCCCTTACTTGCAATCACGCACACATGCCCTACACTATCACAACTTTGGTAACCAGTTGGGAGCTTAGAGCCTGTCCCAGCAGAGGCGGTGCCCCACTGGTGCACCCCCGCAAGCCACGTAGGTCTGCGCCGGATCTCGCCAACCGGCGGAGATTACCGCTACCTCTCGCAATGAAAACGTGCACTATACTGCGTATTATCCAATTCTGCCCCTGGTAGGTATCACCTTTTGACAGTTTCATCCAATCCGGAGCTTCAACGTCACCAATGACGTCACTGGTGACGTTTAAGCCCCCGATTGGATGAAACCGTCAATAGCTGATACCTGTCAGGGGCAGAGTTGGATAAATCGCTGTCTAGTTACCGGACTAACGACCTTCAGTTAACGCGCGCGGAATCATCAATCAATCGTGGTTGAAAATGTGCACATTCTCTACAAATCAAACGATACATCATTCACCAGGGCACGAATTGACAGGTATCCCCCTTCCTAGCGAGAGTGATGTCTCCCGCTCCTAAAGTTAATTTCTCTTCGTGGATACAATCAATCTGCATTAAGTACCACTGTTATGATTTACACACTTTGAAATGTTCACATCACGGACATTGGACAAAAAAATTCCCTAAAAACTCTACAATTCTTCATTTAGAGCCATATGCGAAAGCGAATATCCTTTTCTTTTCACTCATCAATCCTTCGATTCGCTCCTCCTAGAGAAACGTTTCCCTCTCGAGAAAATTGCCAATTCGCACATTCTTGCCTTTCCAAATGATGGGCTTTAGCGGTATTTTCACCACACAATACTACAGTGGGGTTGTTTCCTGCCTCTCCTCATTCAAAACATTAGAGGAAAAATAATTTCATCAGATTTTTCACAAATCTGTTTCATTCTGCAAATATTGTAGAGTATTTAAAAATGAATTCATGTTTCTGTTATTGTTTTTTTCACGAAAATTTTTATTACAAATAAAGAGATAGTCTTATACTATCTTAAACATTTACATCAAATTTAAGTTCAAATTAGGTGAGAGCGTAGGCTTCCGCGGCCGGAATCAGTATTTACTAGGCTGTCCGGGTGGACGCGGCGTCACCCGGACAGTCTAGTAAATACTAAGTTCAAATTAATTTACCATAATAAGGAGAAATATTTAATTATATTATTTCACTCTGGGATAAACCAAACCTGGAATAAAGCACAAATGTTACGTCGTCATTTTTCCTCCGTTCTCGTTAAATTTATGAACAAAAACAAGTTTGTGAAAACATTTGATTTACAAAATCTCGACGTGATAAATTAGACTGTGGATTTCTGACAAAACTATTATAAATTTTTAAAAAATAATATTTTTTTAAATATTTTTTTGCTCACATTTGAGATATTACATGTCAATAAATCCGTCTCTACAGCACACTTTATAAAACAAAATTGGAGAAAAACACCAAGGCGTGTTACTAATCAACCAGAAACGATGGTTCCTTATACTCTAGACCAGGATTGTCCAACTGGCGGCCCGCAGTGCCATTCATAGTGGCCCGCGAAAGATTATTCAAAATTGAAAGTTCCTTGAGTACATGACGGACATTGTGTTGGGAGAAAATTGTGCCCCACTCGCACGGGCTCTGCGGGGTTCAACACCCACTTAATGTAAAAATAAGTAAAGTTTAGATTTAGGGATGTCTTTTCCAGTAAATTCTAAATTTTAAAATCATTCCAAGGTGTTCCGCTAAGTTAAGAATGGTACGGCCGAATATAAAGCATGATTTCAATCCCCCTCCCCCATGTTTCAGAGAAAGAGGGCAAACTTCCGATATCAACAATACGGGGAAGGCAGGTGTGGATCGCCCGCGTAAAGAAAATCTGGACCGCAAACACATTAAAGGTTTTAGTTGCGGCCCTTGAGGCCTTGCAAGTTGGACACCCCTGCTCTAGGCAGTGGGGCAACTAGGCTTTTTTCCAAGGGGGGGGGGAGGCTGAAAGTATAGCATCCAGCTGGAGTATATGCCTTTATGTTTTCTAATACTTTTTTTTATTGATACAGAATTTCAAATGTATTTTAATTTTTCATTAAGTTATTTACAAAGTATTCAACTGAGTGATCGCACCTGAGTGAGCAACTGAGTGAGTTCACTTGAGTGATTTTCTTTAGAATAGAAAATTAGGAAAAACTTTGTATATTTCCGAATGTGTGTCTTCGGCTTCGGGAGGAGGGTTGAAGCCCAGTGAGCCCCTTCCGCATCATTCTCTTGCACAATGGAGATGATTAGGGTGCGAAATCCCAATGGAGGGAGTGTGTTCTCCTCCATGAACTATTGTGCGAAAATTGCCCCCATTGATAAATTGCAGGAGAAGAGAAAGTAGATGCACTCGATTACTATTCCCATGATATTATTTTTTTTCTGAATAGTTATTACATTCGAAAATGAAGATGCAAGATATGAAGGTGTTTGGTGTTAAATCGTCCGATTCTCCTAATGACATGCAGTGTTAATCTTGTAAGTTGTATCTTAGGAACTTCCGGATTCGAAAGATTCGCAAAATGCTCCACTGGCGGAAATAATGTGTCCGATTGCCTCTATCAGGAACTGGTGGCCAGTAGGTGGATACACAAAATGCCTGGAAATTGATACCTAAAGAAAAAGGGCGAAAGAAGAGATAACTGACAAACTAAATATAACAGAAATTAACAGGAAGTTATAACACAAACTAACAACTCAGCATGAATATAAACAGCACAACGAAATTAAATAAAATGTGCATTTGAGAAATAAACCCTCGCACAATTTGTCGATCGTTGTATACAATACTCGAAAAAAATTAGGTATTACATTGTAATGGTATTCATTTTGAAAACTAGCAGTACTTTCCATTAGTGAATTTTTCTTCTTTTTTACAGGACGCAGCTCAATTACTTCAGTTGCGAGGGAGAGGGTAAAACTTCCTATTATTTGTACAAAGGAAAGTTTTTCGAACAGAATTTGAAAAAACTGGTTTTTTGAACAAATGATCGTTTGTTCGCACATGTGCAAGAATAAGTGTTATGGCTTCCAAATCTTTTGAGACAAGCCATAAGAAAATATCGCAGCTATACATTTTTAGAACAAATTCACTACATACTAGTATGCCATAAAACTACTGCAAATATCACTGCCTCACATCGTATTACTACACAAAAATCCACAATTGCAAAACAAATAACGCAATGCAATGCAACGCAATGTTTATGAAACCACACATTTAAAAAATAAATACTTCAATTTGATAACGTTTATTGGATACACCCACCATAAAAAACTTACTCCAGATTACACATTTTAAGGTTGTTTTTTTAAAGCATTATCAAACTTTTAGCGAATCAGTCTGTGACTACGCTGTTCGCGTAATGCGTACGATGTGGCTATCACTTCAGAAAATACTTCTAACTGGATGCAAACATCGCGCGTCGGCAAATCCACTGTGTTCAAGCATAGCCAATTCATTTCCGTAAAATCCATGATAAGACGTTCCAGTTCCCCCATTTATAAGACACTAAGATCAGTTTTATAAAATGTCAAAAGAGCAAGGCGTTACTTTTTTATTATTTATGACTGCACTTTTACGCCTATGATTAAAAATGACCGCTCACTTACCTGATCGTGTTTTGTTATCGGCATCGTTGAAGTACTTCGACGATGACGATATCACAGTTTCGGATGAGCTGCCTTTATTCAACGATTCTTGAAATTTTCCTCTGGGAATATAACCAGATTCATTATCTCTATCTCCTTTTCTCGGCAAACATGCACCTCTGCCGCGCACATTTGTGCTACGCCGATCGACGCCACCACGCGCCATGCGAAAGTCATCTCTGGGACGTGGTCGAGGTTTCAGCCTGTTATCAATTCGATCTCTTTGGCAAATCACAATACTAGACGATGCACGATGACCGATACCATCGCTTGTGGTATCCGACAACTTCTCTTTGTCACTTCCTTTATCAGTTAGTTTACTTCTATTTTCTGCTTCCGAGTCCTTTACGTCACCAAAGTCCCGAGTGCTTCTGAAAGCCTTGAGCTTGTGGCCCGAACTATTAGTTATCATCACCTACACTTTACATTACGTAGATCAGTCGCATATTATACATTCACGCTCTCGTTGCACAATGTGACAGTTTTCTGACCATTTACTTAAAACACATACCTTTGTGAAATTATAATTCCATTATTGAAAGCAATGCTATTTTCACAAACACGAAATAATTTGAACAAAATATTGTCACATACGGTGAATGCCTCGCATTCCGCATTATAAACGTAATAACTATCCCGGCACCGAGGCGGCACTCCAACACTATTCCCAGTCTACTCCAGTCCACTCCTCTCCTCGCCTAGTCGCCACCGCTCTTCCACTGTTTTCCACTATGCCCACAGAACGCGACTTTTTGGCGACTGTCCCTCAATTCGCTCAGGTCATGATCTATAGAGCAAGGGTCAGACCACGACGACATTTTCAGTCATGCGCCATTTTTAGTCAAGGAATCCAAAGCATAGGAAGAAAAATGTTCATTTGTCATCTTTCAGTAATCAAATTTATTGTTACAACATGCTGTCGTAAATCAGCAAAATTTAGAAAGCAAGAAGAATGTCCACGCCTAAACTAAATTTTTGTGAACATTTGCGTACAGAGAAAAGAAAATATTTTATTACAGTTAACGCTCGTTTAATAAATATGCATTCAGCAGGGGGAAGTAATCCTGATATAAAATATTTGAAAACAGAATTATAAGATTTTCTTTTGAGCGCTGATGTATTGGAATAATTTTTGTCCGTGAATTGACGTTTGCAACTAAACTGGAAAGACACATCTGGTCGTCTTTTTGGACGTTCCTGTGGATTTAGCCCGAGAGTATACAATTCAGTAAGCAGTTGAAAATTCTGTGATGTCAGAAACGAAAACAATTGAATGTGCCGCGAGTTTAGACAAATTCCAGTAATTTTACTGCAGTGTTTCCTAACAGAGTTAAGATAATCAGACATGTCGGTAACAAAATGTAATGAATTGTGTTGGAAATTGTGTAAGGACGTGTGAGTCCGCAAGAGCTAAGGGCTACTGTTATGTCACATTGTGTAGGTTGTGTATAGGGCGTTCGGGCCAGTAATCATGTTCTGTAGTGCCTACTGGCGGGAGATAATTGTCTATTACACTGATAAATGTCACTTCTTTCTGTGATTAATAAGGAACTATTTATATGAATAGGAAGTTATGACCGTGAAATTGTTGTCATGGGATCCAAAGTACACATTGCAACACTAAGGCGAAAGCAAGTGAAGCTAATAACTCACGAAAAAACTCTGAGAAACTGCTTGGATATGATAAAAGATCAACAAAGAAAACTTGAGGTATGTAAACCCAATTCCCTAATTCATTCGTACTCCTGGCCATTAAAAAAATTCATAAACGAATTAAGTGGGATTCAAATATCGTCAAAGTGAAATTTGAGTGAAGTTAATGGTCAAATCCAATGAAGATGGTATGCTAGTCTAAGTTATACAAATAAATAAATTAATTTTAAAAAAGAATTTTGATTATCTCAACAGTATTTGTTTTCAGTGGCAACATCGAGCAACTTTCGTATGACCTATTGCGGTGCCGACGTATGAATGATGTTCGTAGAGACTCCTTTGGACGTTTCTGGATGTACATTACTTTTTAAATCTTATACCACATTAATCTTACTGACAGCAATGTTGTCAAGACAGTTTCATTGAAGGTTATGGGAATACATTCAAAATGGGTTAATATATTCTCAATATTGCCATCAATTCTGCAAATGTAATTAATTGTTTGCAAGAAATATGTGTTAATACTTCCACAAATAATCAAAGAATGATGAGTGTGTTGATGTACACTTCAAATTTCTGTCTTTATAATTGATTTTTCTGAACTTCCGGGCTTCACTTTTTCCAGTTACTGAGATAACTGTTTCAGATATGATTATTTAGCAACTTTCTTAAATTTTTTGCATTAATTTCAATGAAAGGAATTATATTTGGCAATTTGCTTTTGGGTTGGTACAAGTTTAACTGACGACGAAAATTGGCTGTCCTCATATCCTTCTTTTTTGATATTTACTAGAAATTACTAGAAATGCTGTTTAATCTAATCTTTTTTACAGGCCAAATAAGGGTTTTGTTATCAGAAATAAATGCTTCTAATTTGTATTTAATGTGACTGGTGTAAACAATGGTATCTGATATTATAGGCAAATTTGAGATTGTTTGTGTAGAGAAGAGAGGAGGTTTTCCTATATTCCAAGTTGTTTCAAGAATTATCTACAAATAGCTATGATAATTTATGTGTATGTTATGGCATATGCAGTGCATTTCTTGTAAACTGTGGGAATACACTGCATTTTCTGTGAAACCTCAAATACAATTATTTACGGCCGTACCCTTCTCATATATATATATACACACACACCTCTCTGAATTTAGATATTCAGAAAATATTAAAAATTATTTTATGATCAGAATGTGAGACAATTACTGTATCTGATAAGCACAGTACAAGAAATACTGTATGTAATACGTGGAAGGAATTATCTACTGCACTTCTTAGTGAATGAAATCTGTAAGAGAAAAGGTTCATTTTGCATTTTAGTTTCTTGCATTTGGGTCGATGTTTTTTCACTGCAGGCACATGGCAGTTGTAAATCAATAAATAGATGCTAGCACTGGATAATTCTTTCCAGAATGTGTAGATGAGAAAACCCTGCTAGTTATGCTAGTTTTTTTTCTAATTGTACATTGTCTTGATATATTATTTCATTGTGTTTGTACAGATAGAACGCTTACAATTAGAGAGCATGTTGGATGCCTTAAACCTTGATCTGAATCAAACTAAATCAAGACAAGAATTTCCCCCATTAACTACTGAGCTAGAGAATGTTATTAATGAGCAAGAACTTGAGTTGGGTGTGCCTGCATTGCAACGCAAGTATTACACAAACTGTATATTTTGTTTTATTCTATTATATCTAAAATCTAATAAATATATCTTATGCTTCACAGAAATGTTAACGGGTTCATTTTATTCCAATGAAAATGAAGAAGAAGAAGAGGAAGGTGGTGCAGATGATGATGATGATAATGATAATGATAATGATGACGACAACAATGGAGGATGTGTTGGTGGTAGTGTTGTTGCATCATCTGCAAATCCAAGCAAAAGGACAAAAATTGATGAATCACTTCTTGGTCTTCAGTCAGATATTTTTGATTTTATGGATTCGCTTGATTAAAGAAAGCATTCATCTTACCTTCTGTAAATATTGTGGATGTGTTACTTAATGAAGAATTCTACTTTTTAGTTTTGGGTGCATTTATTGAATTTTCTTTGTAATTTTTCTAAATAAAATTATATTTATTATGGTGTGTAAGCTTGAGTATGCAGTAGATATAAACCTACCCTTGTTTACACAATGAAACGCCTAGCATACTAATACCTTCCCTAATGCCCAGTGGAGTTGTTTCAACTCGGAGCATTAAACCATAGTGGTAGAGTAATATCGCAAAGTAATTTAACTACCTTACATAATAATAATAATAATAATAATATAGTGTAGTTTATAACTCACTTTTAACAAAGTTTTCTTAGAAATTCTTCACTTGCACTATACATTCCACTAGGCACCCCTACCATTTTGTGTTTCATTCTGCTGCTGCCCTTCCCCTCTCCGATCGTATTCCAATTGAACTTTAACAAATATCATGCCAGCACCATATCAGAGCACCCTGGAAGCTACCACCTCATGTAACGTGGTTATAAAACTTGTTTTATTCTAACTAAACTCTTTTCCTAGTGTTAGTGATTCCTATTTTACAAAATTTTAATGAAGTGAAATTTTTCAAAACCTTGCTATTAGTGTAGTCATTTTCACTAAAAACTGTATACAATATGGTCAAAAACTAGAATTGAGTACTTTTATCAGCTAAAAATTATTATATGTCACCCTAAATAGTTAAGGCCAAAAAGAAATATTTTCTGCAGTATAAAAGTACAATAAAGGGAAAACAAACCAATCTGACTTCATTTTCTTGCCATTACTGTTCTGCAGGGTGTAAGTGAAGGGAACTTATTGACCTCATTACTCATAAATAACAATGTAATAAGGAAAATATACAGTTGTTCAAAATATTTAGTTTTAAATAATTCACGTGATTCACAATACTTTTCCTTTGGCCACTACTGTCGTGCAATTGTTGCACCGAATTTGACACTTTTAATTGCAGATTTTTCTTCCACTACAATGAGTACTTGATGTGTGGACATCATTTTTGGTTACATTTCTGATTGTTGTAAACAGTGAACACCTCTGAATTGCTTATTGCATTTCTCATTTCTTCGTCTGGTTTCCATATTACTGTCTTTTCTCCAATACTATAAACATATATATCCAACAGTATAAACATATATAGTTGGAAGAACCAAGGCAGTAATGACTTGTACAGACCATAGTTTTGAAGAATAATATGTATAATACTTCCCAGCAATTTGTTCAACATGCTCTTCTTCTCCTGATGCGAGGTTCATGGCTACATTTTCTAAGCATCTTCTCATTGCTTTCAATAATATTTCCATGTTATGAAGAAACATTGGTAAACTTGTTTTAGTGATCATTCACTATAACCCCAATTGTACATTGTATTTGCCTTGTTTTTATGCCGTTAACTGTGTACAGTGGCTTTAGAAGGCACAATACCTGCTTATCTGCTCTATCCCTTTGACTCAAAATGATGCCAGTTTGTAAATGTAATGCCTCGTGCTAAAACAAAGTAATTTCCCAGTGAGAGCCACCGGTTGTTTTTTCAAATCTCAGCAGTATTAAAATCATGAAACAAGACATGCTGAAAAATATAGGTATATCTGACTGCATCACCACCATTTGGAGTCCAAAATGCTACAATGCCCATGAAAATTCCCTTCTAAACTTGAACGTTTTACTTTATCTGAATGATTGCATGTAATATTTTGTTATTCAACAGCTTTCCTTACATGGTAACAACAATTTGCTTTTGAAACTTGGTGATATATTTGCTGTACCATTACAAAATTATTCATATTTTCTTAATATACAAATACAAGAAAACCAGAAAACAATGTGAAATGGAAGGAATGTTTGTTTTATTTCTTCAGAAAATACCGAAATATTATAGACACGTTTGAAAATTTTGAACATTGAAACCTATGATACAGAATCTGTAGGTCAAGATTGATAACCAAGGAGACAAGATGATGTCTCCTGGGCATTTGAGGTGTATTCTGTTATTTTTCACACATTTTTTTATTTAACTAAATAAAATGGATTTGGAGCAGGTGAAACCAAGTTCTATCTCTACAGAAGTAATTGTATACTTGT